ATCAGAACTCCAACTATTTTTTTGAAATGAGCATAATGATGGGCTAACTACACAGAGGTCCCTAAATGTCAGCATCTCACAATACTATGATTGAGATGCTGATAAATAATTTTTAATAATTGTTTAGAGATGATGAGAGGCCAGAACTCTTTTCGAGGGTATGCTTGCTAATGAGAACTATGGATTTCACCCACGAGGGAGGCCAGAACTCACCCCTAAATGCCAGCATCTCACTATAGTATGGCTGAGATGCTGATAAATAATTTTTAATAATTGTTTAGAGATGATGAGAGGCCAGAACTCTTTTCGAGGGTATGCTTGCTAATGAGAACTATGGATTTCACCCACGAGGGAGGCCAGAACTCACCCCTAAATGCCAGCATCTCACTATAGTATGGCTGAGATGCTGATAAATATGATAAAACTGTTTCCCACGTGGTTTATTCGTTAGAACTATTGAGATAACTTTCTTAGGGGATAGAACTCTGCAGGATTGTCTTCTTCTATGCTCATATATGTGAAATTCGATGAGATGCTGACAAGCGGTACGAGAAGTTAGCATCTCATTTCTCAAAAACGTGATTTGAAGGGGTAAATCAATTAAAATACTGTTAAAACTTATCAAGAACTGTGGAACTATGATGGATGCAAGTAAATATGAAGTTTATTTGTGAGATGCTAATATTTGAGATGCTAAGTTCACACACGTGAGGCAAAGGGTTGTAGAGCGGGCGGAGGGAGGAACCCCCTGACCCGAGATAAGGAAGTGGTTCCCAGCTGTCACCCGATGCCCTGGGGAAGCGACCGTGGAGGATCTCCAAGAGTTACGTACCGATTCGTTAAGGAACGCTCTCGATTTAGTTTAAAGGGACGACTCGAGGGAAATGATGAGAGTTACCGGCTATAAGGATCTCGACCAATCAGAATGATTAGTTCTCGAATTTGACTATTGTCAGAGCAGTATGTCTTGGGCACCGATCGAAGTGCCTCGAGCTGCCTCGCGCTCCCGTGCTATCTGTTGATAGTTTTTCTAGCTGTGTTTCCTATACGGTGTAGAAGGTTCCCGCCTGTGTACTCGCGTTGCTCTCGAGTTATCCAGGAAATTCTATGGATTTTCTGTGCGCGTTCCGAGGTGTAGTGTTGTGCCCTGGTGCAGTGCCCGCCTGGGTGTCCTCTGGATGCAGTTTTCGGCCTTCACGGATTAGCTGCACCAGCTCCGGTGAGTTCTCCCAATTTATTAATTGGTGAAGGGATTTCGATTTCATATCTCCAATTCGTTCTGCTACGTCCTCGATCAATTGCTCTCTGTTTCCGGCACAATTTGCCTGACTATTACTCCGACCCTCTCTACATCAACCTAGCAGCCTGAGCGGCCGTGCATTTGCGTAACCGTCCGCTCCCGTTCGTGCATCCAGTTCGTTTGCTGATTTTACGCGACTCCAAATATCAGCACCTACGGTTGCATTTCTCGATTTCACATGCCCCCAAAAATCGACAGAATCCGTTAAGCTATCGTTTCTTCCGACAGGTTCCGTCAGACCACTCGTTTTAGCGGAGTTGAGCCTGTTCTACCCCAACTCCTAGGTTATATACCGGCTTGTCAGTTCCCGATGACAAAAGAATTGGTTGGCGCCAACCTGCCTTGCGGATGTAGAAGCGAAGGGTGGACAGCCGATGGTAACGTAGGTGGATTCCCGAAAATAGTTCTTGGATTTTTTGTCAGCGGTGTCGAGTTAAGAAAATACGTTACAATTTTTAAACTATTTTATGAAAAACCACGTGTGACTTTCTTAGGATTGCTTGCTTGCAAACTGTCAGAAAAGCACATTGAACTTGTGGACCGATTATAGCTTTTAAGGAGCGATCGATGGCTGAAACTTTCGAAGATATTCATTTGCCAATTGGGATTACTACGAAGTACAGAAGATCGACATTCGTAAAATTTTTAATGGAAGGATTGGCATTTTCTTTCAAGCGAATCGTAAAATTCCGTGATATGATTCGTGGAAACGTTATTTCCCATGGGTGCAATGATTCGATTGGTCGAGCGTCGCGTTTTCTAGACAGTTTTCCATCGTCCCTGGAAAAGATCTTGTACTCTCGTGGGGATGGCCCCTCTGTTAGCAGATTCTCGGGATGTAGCCGATTGAAGCCGAATTGCGGTAGAGTGGTCTGAGCCCAGTGTTCAGAAACTTGGACTTTTCAAATTTCTCGTCTTTAAATCAGCCGGCATATTTGTCCATGAAAAAGCGTGAAAGAATTTTTTATTTTCAAGTGAATGGAAAAGTGATAGTGACTTGGAAAGATATTGAAATTCATCGATAAGAGTTTAAGCGTGATTGATTCAATTTATCTGAAGTATTCGTTATTTTTTCTATAATGATCATTCATAACTTTTATTAAATTTTCCATACTTATCGGATATTCAAAAAATTGTTATTCAAAAACGCCTTTAATATTTCACCAACAAAAGTATCACGTATAAACTATACAAAAATTTACTGTTAATAAACAAATTTCAAATAGACGGAAAAATTTCTTTTTCCGCGCAATTATTTTCTCGTCTTGTCATTGCCTAATGATAATTTACCTATAACACACTCACTCCAGCCAACGAATCGTAACATAAATATTCACAGGTTTAAAGTAAAAGAGATTCCCGTACAACAATTTTCATGTATATGCGATAAGCTTCTTTTTCATTGAACGTTGTACAACTCCCATGTGAACGGTTACCTAATGAACTTCGAAAACCTGCCATTAATCCACGCAAACCCCTATTCGCTTCTTAGTTGTAATTTCGCAATATAATCCGAACGGGTAGGTTTAAACTATGCACGTGGTTCCACAACACACGATCAAACTGATAGTATCATTACGAAGATTGACTGATGATGTAACACATCAATAGCTGGATGAGGCAGACTCTATCGATCACGCTGATTGGAGTATTACTTTAGCGGAAAGGAAAATCAGTGATTGGATGGTTGGCAGCCTTTGAAGAGAAACTAGTTTGAATGAGATTCAATTTCTTAGTAATAGTTTTATTAAGTAATTAGTGAGAATGGAAATTCTCGTCGGACTTTAGGTTGACGATGCTGCCTTGTGTTGTGGAAAAATACTTTATTTACTTGCCTCGCGTTGACAATGCTTTTGCTCGCAGGCTGTAGAATTATTGCAGGACTCCGTTGCTTCGATAATGCTCAATGGCGTATTATGTGGAAGCGAAAAAAAGTTCGTTAATATTATTTACTTTAGAGCTTGGAATCTGCACTGAACGTTCAGAATTAAGCACTGTGGGACAGGGAGCAAAAAGGCCGGAGCAATTATACAAAAACATGCAGCTGTTAGGTATAAAAGCGGCCTAACTAGAAATGATCGTGAAGAAAGAGCACCACTGTCTACGGACCGTCCACATTGGGACTAGACGTGACGTAGGGGTTACTACTAACGCTCGCTGTGGCAAACGGCTGAAGTTATAAACGAGGAAAATTTTCTTGTTGACTGTTCAACACGTTCGCACCGTAAACTCTCGAAATTGGCTATTCGGATGCGATTCTCAGCGATATGGTGTAACGATGGCAGATGTAAAAGTTTACCCGTGTGCCCTTTTTCGATCTTTATCGGTAGTTGTGTCCAACAGCGCGATAAGTGTTGGATACGCAGGGTTGTCACTGGATATTCACTTGAAGTATTTTCTACGAAATCATTTTTAAAATTCGACTACGCACGAAAAGACATGTTATGAAAAGGCTTCGACTTGGTGGAATAAATTTATTGACAGTGCTTTCTATAATGATATTTTTCTGTGTGAAGTTTTCTCGTTTCCAACTCTCATCCATGTGACAACACGTACGTATGAAAAATAATTTTATTCCCTCGTAATCCCGATGGAACATCAAAAATAATTAAGTATATATTATAGTGTCAAATTATGTATTTTAGTATTGGATTATATTTTCATTTACCAAATTTATTGATGCTGTGCGTATTTTTAGATAGAGCTTAGGCTTACAATAACAATTGTACAGGGTAGTCCACTTGAAACTAGATACCTACATAAATATTTTGTCTTGATTGCAAAGATCCGAATGTTTTAGAGATGTAATTTGTTTTTGAAGGGCGAACATGATACAATAGCATATTGTGTCACAAGGAATGAAACAAGACGATTTTAAGTTTAACGACAATATTAAGTTTATTTTCATAAAACAGCAACGCGAATAACTGAATGACGCGTGATGAATTCATCCTGAACGTAATTTATTGGGGAAACGACGTAAACTTTTTTTTTTGCGTTATGATTGTTCGCTTATATATTAGTGTCAAGTTATAAAGGATATTTGAGATTTTTTTGACAGTTGGCAAAGCAATGCGATTCTTAGGAAACCATATATGGCTTTTCATAAAGTCACAGAAATATATGCTAAGGTAGAGAAATAAAATACACATATTTCAGTGAAAAATTATATACAAGCATACTTTGTAAGAAAAAACTAATGCAAAGCCACGTGTGATTTTATACAGACATCTTTCCTTTAAATCTGTCCAAAAAAAAACCACACATTGAACTCGTGAGCTGACTATACGCTTTCTTTTTATTTACCCTGGATGGGGATAAATACAACACAGGGAGAAAAAGAAATCACCTAAAACAGCACCAGGCTCAGTATTTATTGCGGTGCTTCAAGCTGGATTTATCGTCTTATAGCGCTCACGTGCAGGCCGAAAAATGTTGTCACGTGCTACTAAACATTTTTGATGCTTACACAACACACTTTAGCAGACGCCCGAGTGACATGAGCGGCAGTGTTAAAGGATTAAATATTGTAGAAATTGTGTAAAATCGGTTAGACGTCTGTCCAAAAATCTTGTAATTGGATTTTTGAGTTTTTTTTAAGGGTTGTTGATATAAAAATTAATTACAAACTTTTAAATTCAGCACTCATTCGTGGACGCTTATCGACAAAAAATGTTTATTGTAGATATAATTTGAGCATCCGATCTCTGAAAGACGGTAATTTCATATGAAATTATTATTCAGGTAATAAAACTAGATGGCGTTCGATTATGCAATAAAAGATCAACAGATGGGGTGTCGCTATTATGATTTTCATTATTGAAAAAATTTGACAAAGCCTTTTTAGGCTGAATTGGAAAACGTGATATAAGCTGGATAGCTCAGTCGTCGGTCATGTAGCAATAATCGTCAGTTGTGTTGTACTGTAGATTTTGCTATAGTAAAAGCACACACTGACGATTACTAGTACGTGGCCGATGATTCGGCTATCCACCCTATCGTTATTCGCACATGGACTCTCAGTTTGAAATGATCAATATGATCAATTTGATTAATTGCTTAATCTTGTTTGTATATAATTAACTCAATTAAGCATAGTTAACCAGGTACTGAAAACTGAAGGTAATGAAGCCATAAAAGTTAAACAAAAATTGATTAATGGGAACTGTGAGTTCGTAGCCCGACTACTGGAGGGTTAATTAATGGTCATCCTTCCAAGAAGGGCCAACAATTTATGCGGCGCAGCTGAGCAATATTAGAATCTTAAGCTGCCAATACTTTGCGGGATATAAGTAATAGGTTAAAAAAGTAAATGATTTTTATTTTAACGAACGTGCATAATTATTACAAATAATTAGTAATCCCTTTAAAGAAAAAGTGTGTTTTACGTATATCGAATTTAGCCCTAGAATGCCCATTATAGTTTTTGTATAAGTTGATGCCTATTAAGAGTCTGACAGACCCTGCGTTATTTTTGGCCGTAGTAATTGGTTTTATAATTAGTTTTTTTTTTTAATTGTCACGACAGAATCTAACAAAAAAGAAAATATACGCAAGTATTAGATTCGATAAATATTTTTCGAAATTTTGAGTCATAGAAGACGGATTTTATGTATAAAATTAAATAACGCACGACAATGTTAAAAACAAATATGCAATTTGTGCTTTGACTCATAAACTGGTGTCAAATTCTCTTTTTAACAAAAGCCCGAGATAAATGAACTAAATAACACCAGCCCCTTTCCAAACTGTATAAACTCTTCCCTTTTCTACACAGCATATCGTGACAATTTTTAATACCAAATTGTTCAACACTTAAACAAGTTTGGATTACGTCATAAATTGTTTTCCGGCGTAATAAAATACAATGTAAAATTACTATTGACATTTTTTTTAAATAAACACAAACTGAAAGCGCTCACATAAAACACTGCTGTAATGTCCATTATTGATGTCCAGTAGGTGGTATTGATTTTTCTTGAAAATTAGCAATAGATATATGTAGTCTATGCCTCGAAGGCTATTTGGTAGCATTGACGACCTACGTTCAACTTTCACGAAGCATAATGTAATCTATAGTAAGGGACGTGTGTGTGCACACGTGCAGTATACCTATTACTTCCATGTTAAGAATATCGATGTGCTTTGTATTCGTTTAGTTTTTCTAGGAGTTACTCTACGCACTATTCGTGCACCGATAACCCATATTACTGTTAGGCTTTATAATCGTATGCTTATAGAATAAATAACATTATATTCTCGAGTTTTATTTGTCTTGTATTCGTTTCATTTTCTTAAGATTTACTCCACTCGCGCTATTCGTACTGAAAAATCATAATATTTTCAGGCTCTATAATCGTATATGTAAAATAAATAAAACTACATTCTCCAACAGTAGCTTCTTGCGTACAAACAAGGCCAGACGTAATTTATTTCACGTTCAATTGAAGAATTAACGGCTATGACAGAACTGGGTTTACCCAGGCCACCAGATGAATTGTATTAGTTTATAAGGATTCATGACTTAACGAAACTGCTTGATGACCTAGAAAGAAAAAATATTGCTGATTTACATTTGCAATGAAATATTGTAACGTTGCTTTATTACTATTTTTTAAAATACCACTTTTTATAAATTACAGTCTGACTATAAGAAAGCAGGTATAGGATATTAAATATCTGCAAGAGATATTTATGAAGCATTGAATAACGTATAGAATATTGAAGCTAACAAATAAAAGCGATTGGGATATTCACTTATAAAATTTTTACCACGAGTAAAATTTACGTCTTCTCATCAAAGATGAGATAAATAATGATTTATGTAATTTTGTATACGAGAAATTAGAAAATTGATTTCTTTTAATTAATTTAATGATTCGGTAATTATCTGGATTGCATAATATTTATTATATTTGATTTTGATAATGTGCACGTTGTTATATGCAATTTATACCATGAGTGAAATGTATATCATTTTGAAACGTTTCGAATGATGTTTCGCCATGAAATTGTTCTTAAATTTGTACGTGGGTACGGTTGAAATTCAATTTTCCACGTTTATCATTAATTAAAATAGGTTCTGACAGACCGGCTGGCGAATTCACGAATAATACTTCGCTGGCTATGGAAATAGAAGTAAAAACGAAAGATTGAATATGCAAAAGCAAACCTTGATTGTTGACATAAAAATCTATGAATTCCTTACGAATAGAATTTACGTTAGCCAACTTGAAATTTCAGAGAATTCACAATCGTGCGTTATAATTGATTCGCGAATAATATATTGACATTATATCTTTGCAGAGGGCAAAAATCTCATGAAGTCAGATTGAATAAAGTTATATCATTTTGAATGTGAAAGTCGAATTTTTTAAGAAGGTCAAATTTATACAGTAAAATTTTACAAAGAATCACAAAGAATCAATGCGACTCGCGTGACAAAACGTGAGTTACGAAATAACTATCACACGATAACGCGATACCTAATACATCGTGATATGCTTGAATTTATCGTATAACATAAATCCGAAATTTTCAATCCTCTACACATAATAAATATATGCAGGGTTAGTCAGTAGAAACGCACCAGCAGAAGTTGGCCGCAAGTGGCCGACACGGCAGTGTGGCCTCTTCAAAAAATGACATGTGACTGTGACCGATTCCCATAAGCGCAAACTGACAGTTCACATAGCAATAAGGTTTTCGAAATATTTCAATAGTTTGGTTACTGAAATAATTAATTAACATTGTAATGACAAAATGTAATATCAGTTAAGAATTATTTTCACAACAGATCGCAATTAAAATAATGTAAAGTTTAAAATATTCACAATTTTGATATTTCCATGTAATGATCACAGCTGCAATTCTGCAATACAATGCTGCAATTAATTTAAAAATTAATTAATTGAAATGTTTTCATAGCAGAAAGGTGCAGGAAAAAAATCTGTTGTGAAAATAAATCTTAACTGACATTACATTTTGTCATTACAATATTAATTATTTATTTCAGTAACCTAACTATTGAAATATTTTGAAAACCTTATTGCTATGCGAACTGTCAGTTTGCGCTTATGGGAATCGGTCACAGTCACATGTCATTTTTTGAAAAAAAAATCTGTTGTGAAAATAAATCTTAACTGACATTACATTTTGTCATTACAATATTAATTATTTATTTCAGTAACCTAACTATTGAAATATTTCGAAAACCTTATTGCTATGCGAGCTGTCAGTTTGCGCTTATGGGAATCGGTCACAGTCACGTGTCATTTTTTGAAGAGGCCACACTGCCGTGTCGGCCACTTGCGGCCAACTTCTGCTGGTGCGTTTCTACTGACTAACCCTGTATATGATGACTCGTTGCTACCATTGTACAATGCAAGTTTGTAAACATTTTAATACTTGTAGAGATAAGAAAAAAAAATTATCACCCGTAAATTTTGTATAGCAAACTGAATATATTATATATTTTGGATTCATTGTACTCGGATTCAGTATATCGTACACGATGAGAATTTTCTAGAAAAAATTACAGGGTAACGTGGGCTAAACCTGAAACAAGGTAGAATTTCGATACTCCTGTAAAAAAGAACAAATTTAGATACTGCATATAATACGCTTCGCTATGCTGAGTAACATTTTGAGAGCCGGAAAGTATGTTAAAAATCTTGAAATTTACAATCAGCTGAGTGCAGAATAAGCATTAACCAACCACTGAAATATGTATGGCCAGTCTTAATTTTTACGCTGTAGAACAGTGTTTTATGTTCGCGTTGCTAAGCAACAAAGATACGGCCAGATTCCACGAAAATTGTCCCTGGTAGTCGTATGAAGCTTAACTAGCCATAGTGACAGACAGCCGGTCACCTTCGGGAAACTTTGGCTTGTAGGAAGGCTGCACGTGTCATTCGGGCTTTAAATTCTGCCGCACCAAAAACTATCATATGTCTACTGATCTCTGCGTCGAATTGTCCTATCCGCTTTGTACCACTAGAGTCTCTATTTTGTCCCAACTATCACAAGAATTCTTACCCTGAAGTAGCCAAATTTTACAATCACGTCATAGTAAATTTCACTCGGTGATTTTTACTATGTGCAGCAGATAAAATTGCTACGTCGTCGATAAAAACTACCTACCTTATCGGCACGTCTCAGTGCTACTAGATTCATGGGAAATTTTACCGCGGGTTCCTGGACGATATTTACTAGAAAATTTGCTCCGTGTACTTTGGAGGAAAAAAAATGTATGAAACATCGTCCAACCAAATAACTTGAACATACATACTCTACTTTTTGATCACCTGAGAAGTGACGTAATAAAACTTGGATGGAAATGGAAAAAAAAAATTATTACGACATATGGAAGATTTCTTTGTTCCGTGTATTGAATATTTAAACCTACTTGCTGTAATGGCGCGACTGCACGACAGGACATGGTTTTATTTAGATTATTTTTAGTTGAAGCTAACCGCGCGTAGGGAAATTACAGAAACGTTATCTCCGTGCAATACAACCGCGTATCGTGTGAGTCCGTATAAATCCACAACACGAAAAGGCACTTTAATCGCTCACTTACCCCACCGTCTGCATTCGGCAGTTTCTATGTCAATGGAGACAGTAACGATTGCCGGGCAATTAGAATGCTGTCAGACGATAATAACATGAATTTTTGTTAGATCCATCACGAATAGCAGGTGCCACTTACACAATACCAATAGCTCATAAATATTTCTGAATGAATTCCTACATTATTCGATATAAAACGTGTAGGTGTCTCGTATTTAATATTCTCGTGTAATCAAGCTATATACAGGGTGTTCGCGCTGACAGTATGCGATGTATGCGAGTAGCAGAATTCTGTTAAAAATAAAAATAAATATTCAAGATAATTAGCATGAAAATCTCTGACGTAATTATTTGGGCTGAGAGTCACGAATAAAATAGGGATTCAATTTACTATTGCTCACTGACCCAATGGTCAGGAGGAGCAATTTCCTGCAACAGATATTTACGTTATCTTTTGTATTGTTCACACCCTTGTAATGTAACAATGTGTAAGACTTGCTAGAAATTATTTTAATGAATTCCTGACTAAAATAAATGTATGATTATTACGTATTTAAAAAAAAAAACATTTATGGGTAAAAGATTGCAATAGCTATGATCGCAAAAAATAATAAATCAAATAGGACATACTGCCCATGAGCCCATCCGACTGATTATCAGCACCGATAGGCTAAATCGTCTCAAATGTCAATATTAATAATTTTCAAATTTTTACTTAAAAAATAAAAACCTTAAACACATGTAAATTTATTTTTCACACAAGCACCAACACTGCAAGCTTTAATATCACATAACAGTACCGTCTATACAGAGCAACCCACGAAACAAAAGCGCAATCGATACTTAAATTATTTTTCAATTTTTTTTAATTTTTAATTTAAATTTTTTTCAATTTACATTTTCAATTCCTAAAACGTCGTACCTGCATTCGTTATGTATGATATTTCCTAGCAGTTTTTTCACATTGCCAATGCGGAACGATTCTCTTATCGACCTTAAGGGTTGTACGTGGTGAAGTATTGCGAGCATTATGATGGCACTAGAGACTCAAACGAAAAGTCGTTTTCCGAGGAGTCATCATTTATACACAAAGTTCCTTACGCCTCGCGACGAATTCCATCTAACCTTTTGGCCTGATATTACAGTCATGGAAGAGGGGTCGATGGACGCGGAAGGGTGCGGTGTAGTGGGGGTCCTCGTAAAGGGATTAGGAAGTTAGGTTAGGTTGGAGGTTCGGGTCAAATATTTACCGACTGCTTGACTTTGGCAGTTCCTCCCTGCCAAGTCTGACCGAGCCACGCGAACAGAAGTCGGACACAATGCGAGTTCACATGTTCGTTAATACTCCGTGAAGTCCTTAAATCATCCGATTAACGAAAACGTCCTGAAATTTTTTATATTGATATCCACCACTGTAAATTTCGATCATAGACGCCAAGAGCGTACACTTGAAACTCAATAGGAATAGACGAATGGGAAATTGATATTTGCAATAGACATCGACAATGTCTGTCAAAGGAATTGCGAAAGGGTGTTGGAAAAAATATCAAAGGACATTCCTACAGTAACTTTGGAATTCCACGTGCCCGAATGAAATGGCGTAGAATCGATGAAATCTGAAGGCGAGGAAATTTCGCTTTGATTTCTTGCGACAGAACACGCTTGTTAACGTACCTCCGTGTTTATGTACCTTTTGTTCGTAGACCAAATCGCCCTGACTGTTGATCAGTCAAAGATTTTATCTATAAGAATCCATAATTGATCAGTCCAATTTATACAGGGTGTAAATAAAATTCAAGTGCTTTACGACTTTATAGAGTTTAGTGAAATAAACGAAAATCTAACGTGTGTCTGAAAATTATTCATTTCGGTCATAATAGTATCTTCAAGTCTTAATAATAATACTGAGTAACTCAAGGGACGCGTTGAATACTTGATATGCGATATTGTGGATGTGAATATACAGGGTGATACAGTATAAACGCACCAACCAAAGCTGGATTTCACTGTTATGAACCAAATGGACAGGCTATAATTTCAGCTGGTGCCTTTCGTTCAAATGAACGTACGTATATGGTTTACTGTTAACAAATCATGATATACCTTGGTATACGATCGTAACTATCCCAGCTAGTGAGGCAGTTGTAGCTGTTGTATCTACTTGAGGATGCCATGCCTATGATTTTCTGGTGAAATGTGGAATCCACGTTTTGGTCGCCGTTCATCAAATCCGTTATTCTTGATGCTCAATTCGCAAGTTTCTGTTAATCCGAGATATTTCGAATTATAAATTGTTTCCGTACATTCCAGTATATCCCAGGCCGAGGATCAGTATTGTTTCATGAAATTCCTTGTATTAGCAAACGCCATTTACGTTACAGGCATAAGTAAATACTTATACTTTATATGAATTCTAGTTGATTAATTAAAGCTCGTATCATTATTTTTTTGCGTTTATCGTAAATATTGTAGGATCATACAAAATAAATTTTGGACAGTAGATTGAGTGTCTATATTTTTTTGGACCGCGAGGAAATACGAATGTACTTTTATTATTATTATTTTTTTTCTTTTATTATTGGACCACGAAGAAGAAGATCTTAAACGATATTTCACCACTAGAATTGTACACGGATTAGTTTACCCTTTTTTCCCTTTATATACACACTGAATTTTCATTATTCTACGTATTTTGGACCCGCTAACCAGCGTTTAATCGTTCCGGGAAAATCTTTCCCGAAATAGTCGATTTTATTTAATTCATATGCACTCCTGCTTTTTTGTTCTATATTTTTTTTTTTTTAAAGTATTTTTCTCTTTTTCTTGTTTTCTTCAAATTCGCTCGTATCGCTCGGCGGCTACATTACGTTTCCAAGGACGAATTATTCTCTCTTTGATGAAAGTCGCAGGTTGTGCGTCTCAAAGCCTGGCGAGGCGCCTCCGTCGTTTTAAAAAGTGTCGCGTGACTGTCGAAGCGTCGCGACGCGCTGTCTGTGCCATGCACCGATGTCATGTTGAGCGACATGGTTACGTCTTTTATTTTAAATGCAAAATTCATGTTTGTTATAAACAATTAAGGATCCCCACTTCGAAGACAAAGTTAGGAAAAGTGGAACGAAAAAAAAAATAAGGGCAAATAACAAAATAAAAAAAAAATGAAAAACAAAAATTACAGCGAAATTAGCATATTGATCGCGTGACTGTTTTTGTGTAGTGGCAGCAATGGCGACGGTAGCACCGAGTGTATTAGCATACGAAACAAAACAAGAAAGAAGTACAAAAGATAATTTTTTTTTCAAATTTTTGAAAATTAAATTCCATCGCTATTCTCTTTTGATCCACGTTTTACTTTGCTCTTTTTTTTTCTTTTATTTACGTCATTACGTAATATTGACATTCGAATTTCGAACGCGTGATTCGCGCTGCTCTTCCGCGTTGCGCAAATTTAACGTGTTGTTACATCGTCAATGTTATCCTTCAAAATATTAACGTTCGCCGATCTCGCGAGAGTCGCAAAATCCACGTTTCACCGAAATTTCAAATCGGGCGCGCAGCATCGACCGTTAACAGGAAATTCTCGATGATTGTGTCCCTGTGGTCCAGCGTGGTTGCGAAATTCACAATGCGATTATCGAGGCTGTTTTGCACGTCCATATGATTCTCATAGTGTTCAGATCAACGCTGATGATTATTGATGGGAGACAATGATAAATAAGTTCAGTAGTAAGTTCAGGGGGGAAACCAGACTGCGTGACAACGAGAGAGAAGGAACAAGTGCAAGAAAACAAAGTTGAAGGGAGAACGAAAATTAGGAAAAAATTAATAGGACGAAAAGGATCTTTCGATTCTCGCGATTTTTGGCTACTTTCATTCGTCACCCGTCGCACCAATATTTTTTTTTTCAATAAATCCAAAACCGAATATTCACACTGTACGTATAATATTAGTTTTTCACAGTTTTCACGTGTCCCACAGACTATTTTTCTTATACCGCGAACGCCGATATTTCGTAATCCTCACTCAACAGTATATCCACTTAATAAAATTATCGAAACCCACGAAAATGATATTAAACATCCAAACACTGTTTTTTCGATGTCATCGTTAAGCCATACGTTTAAATTCGATTTTAATTATTTTCGAGGTACTGATATCCCTTTCAAATATTTTATTAACGATTTCCATTAAAGTATCTGAAACAATAAACAAAAGCGATTTAACGAGACAGCGACACTTTCTTTTTAAAAAAATCATTTTTTAAAAAATGATTATTACACACAATAATAGCTCTCGTTTAGTTGCGACTTTTCACGTGCACGATATTTCCTCAAACCAATGAGCACCAGCGCGAACGGACTGGCGTCCCGACGCCGCTTCATTAACGCGTCGACGTTCAGAGTCGAGTCGAGCTTCTTCGCAGGTTCGAAGCACAAGGCGCTTCGCGGCGCGGCCCAGCGCCAACTAGCGGAATCGCCGCGAACTTCGCCTTCTGGTTGCTCACGGCGCAAGTCCCGCCGAGTAGCTTCTCTCTCGGCGAATAAACAATGAACTAGAATGAAAGTAATAAAGCTCGCTCTCGCGTTACTCCTAAGGTAAAGTTTTCACTCGGTTCTTGAAAAACTTACGGGCGATTTCTACCCCTAAGAAGTTGTTCACCTTATCATTTATTCACATTGGAAATTGCCAAGAAATTTTGAATCTTCGACGGTTCTACGGCTTTAACAAATACGAGCGGATAATAAGGTCCACAGGGCCGAATTATACTCGATTAATTTTCACGATATTTATCCTGTGGATGATAGCAAAAGCCACTTATGGGAAATGGGTCTTTCGCATCTCGATTAAATACTAATTACTGATCGGTCCGTTTAATCTAATGTATCTGACGAGTGTCATGCTGTAACCATCCATTAGTGTCCAATTTCGTGAGGTTGCTCATTCATCCCCCTCGACCCGACCCCCCCGTAAGCCACCCTCGGTCCCGCACGCAACGCGTACTTTCATTATGCAATACTCGGTTGCAACTGACATGGTTGCATCAAATGACGTTGTTATGAGTTCCAGTAGGATTGGAGGAACGGAAGCTGCTCATTGGAAAATAGGCTCGCGGGCAATGGAATTATGGTAAATCTTATTAACCACTTTGCAAATTAAATTCCGACATTTCATAAAGTTACTTTCAGGATACTTTATGGAGCGAAAGACATTTTCTTGTATTATGAGAATTTAGCTGGTCGAGGACATTAATTTTGCAATTTTTTTTTTTTTAATGAAGATTGAGAAAGAACAAACAACGGGAGAAATCTTCTCAAGTATAGTGGCGGGAAAAATCGTATAATTCAAAAGCTGATTAACTAAAAGATACCTATTCGCATTGTCACACGGTTTTTAAGATCGTCTTATTCCGCCATTATTCGCGATCGTTTGCTGGAATTGCTACAATTGCTGGCAAACCTAATTGGCAGATTCGCACCAGTCGTTCCTTTTTCCACAATAGATCCTTGAGTGTCGGGAAAGACGTAACTCGTGGCGACGTTCTTTATCTGCGATCAATCAGTTGCTCGGTAATGAGACTCAAACTGATGCTGCTTCTTTCCTCGGATCATTACTGTGATTACGTACTGAAAACCCTTTGCGATTTAGTTCTAACTCTTGCCGATAGCGGACGGATAAGATAATTAGAAATTAATAGAGCATTACATATATGGCTGGACGCTGATAAGGCAGTAAGAAGGGCTTTCATAGCAGTGGTATTACGATTAATATTTTTTGATATTTAATCGGTCCCTCGTAAAGTGCCCTTTTGCAGTATTATAGTTACAACCTAAAAATACTTGAATACTTCAACCCTTGGATCAGTGATACCAACGAGTACACTTTTTCATTTGAACAATCTAAATTCCTGCTGATTAAATAAACAGATTTTTAACATATTCCATATCGTAATCCCATGCTGTCCTAACGGGTTTATCGAAAAGCTACTTTTAGGTTAGGTTTACGATGAGATTAACTACTTTGGTCCTGATCAGACTTTGATGAGGCAACTAAGTTTGTATTGAGGCCAGGTTAATCGTTAACTTGTCTCGACAGTAATATATAATGTAATATTTAATGCAGTGAATGACAGTCGGATGGCATTGTACAGTCAACTATGTATTTTTTTACACGTGTCTATCATTGGTATAGTTATTGCCGTGCGAAGTGGATCACGCGAAGAGGAGTCGAATTTAAATACAAACTAACTCTAACTCGGTAAAAAATTGAAAACTGATGCAGGGTGGATTGTACAACAACAAGACTTAGAAAACTGATAAGGAAATAGAAACGTGAAATTTTTCAGAGACTCCCTTTAGATCCGGTGATCAGTGTAGTACCTATACCTTCGATCGCGTCATGACTAATTCTGCTGAAGCCAATAACGAAGTGAAGAGAACTTGAGTTTTTGGAGTAGAAGTGAAAATTTAATCAGATAAATTAGGAGCATTGTGAGTCCTGATATGGAACTTAATAAATATTATATAGGAAATGGTATGAGACAATGGGCAATAATGAGAAATTTATTTTATGCAATGTACTTCACGCTTTGGACAAATTACTGAATTTTTTTGGAAATTTCGAATTATTCCCTTGTAATGAAAAACATTCTATGAAACTAATGCAGTAGAGTGAAATTCGAGTACAGAGTTATGATGGTAGTAGCCACTAACGAATATATATAGATCAGCTGATTAGAGCAGTGATAACATTACTCAACGGCCCTGGTGAAATTTGCACAATTTGACTCTCAGGTGAAATGCATCAAGGACCGAATAAGATGCTAATCTGATTTCCGATTTCTTTATTGGGCACTTTGACGGCATTGAGGTTATACATAGCGTCACATCGTTTATTTGGTGATTGCATAGACCGATTTGCATAAAAATTAGTATCCTAAGGCTTTATTTGGATACTGAATGTGAATCCAGGGTCACAATAAAAAATTAAAAAATGACGGATCAAAATGCAAAAAGTTATTTGATTTGAATAACACTTGGTACGCGGCAGTTCTTGAGGACAGCGATTGGGAATCTGAACTAAAAATTCAGAAATTATACAAATCATGTCACTTTTTGGATATTAAATCCGTCATTTTGAATTTCAGAATTTCCCTCTAAGTTCTGCTCCGTTTATATTTCTCTCTCGGTATTGTAACGGTCCATCCTTATACCCTTTGATCTTTTATCATTTTTCCATTTTAACCATCCTTTATCTATGATGAATACGTCAAGAGCCCCACATGAGAGTGCATAGCGCATTGTGGATGTGCATAATTCTATATGAAAAAATTCCTCAAAATTCCTATCGACCTCTAAGAGCGACGCCGATAAAGGACAAGAAAATAGGATCTTTAAATCTCTAATTCCCAATATTATATATATTATTCCAAGAGTCCAAAACCAGTGGCAGCGCCTGGAATCAAAACAAAAAAGTGCCCAAGCGCTCTCTGTCGCATCAAGCACAATAAAAATACCAGTAAGCCGGGTACCGGTAATCCAATTAGTCCAATTAAAAAGATCAAATCAAAATTCTACTTTAACGCCTCCGGATAAAAAAAAGTGTTACTTCGACTAAAAATAACGTATCGTATTCCTCGACTGGAACTCATACGACTCATTCGATCTAATTGTAAGTCACCAAACGATCAAATGTACACCGCAAGAGGACAAGGAGCAATAATATCTTGAAAAATCATAATTGCAAAAATTCAAACAGGTAAAACCTATCCTGCTTTTCAAATCAAACCAAGGAACAGCATTTTACTGCAAAATCTGCATTATGTCTCATCTAAGTATCAGGAGCTTTTGCTATTCTTTCTAAATTCTCAGCAGCAAAGTCATTTTGCCGGAGCTGTCGGAAACCGACCCAATTTCCAAATGAAACACCTTAAGAGTTCAGCTCACAACGTCATTGTGATTGGCTGTCTGAACCCTTCCCAGTTCTCCCCAGGTCTAATGAATCATCGTGATGCCCTTTAGTATCAGGAAGTACCTCTTAAAGTACCTGCATCAAATTGCAGTGAAGTTATTTTAATAGAACTGTCAAAAGTGCAGATCCACCTGATCACCAAAAAACCACCCAAAAAGACTCGACTCCGAACTTCATCATGATTAGTAGCCGTCTGTGTAAAAACCTCTTTCAACGATAATATCTTTGGCAAACAGGTATCATTGTGACCATTTGTCGGTTCTGAACTATTATCAACCTTATTATCAGGTGGCCTACAATCACCGGACGCATTACGCAATCTGATGTATTATGGTTCCAGCTATCTCTTTTCCTCTATTAAATATTAATATAATGAAAGGATAGGGACAAACTCTCCTGGTCGTCTGCGGTTCGACAACACAAACTGTACACATTAGTAAGTATGTGTGAGAGATGACGAGATAACGGTTAAGCGACTTCCTAGCATGTAAATAGTAGGACAATATATCACGTCATCACGACTATTTTTATTTTAAAATTAAGTGTTGTTTCCTATAAAGACGCCTGCCCAGTGCACAAATATTTTAAAAGTCTCGGAAATTCGACTTCTGAAAATTCGCGAAACGTCTCATTGCCAGTGTATATTGTCTCGAAGGACTAAATATAGATATATGTAATACTAGTGAAGAACGCGGTTTTGCATTCTGTCCTTATAAAAATGATAATGTTTCAAAATTTCATAATGATATCCTGACCTAAATTCAAAAAGTTTTTTTCTTCGTGTATTAATGAAATTCGCATTTTGTTTTTTAAAAATTATAAATCTGCCTACTGTAATTGTATTGAATGTGGTAACGTATTTATAGGTTTTACCGAAATTATCATTTTTATTATTCTACAACGAGAAATTGATAATAAAAATAGACACTGATAAAGCAGAAAGTTATTATATGACGAATACCAATTTATTTCGTAGTATCTTCATTCGTAATCGAATGAAATCGTGTGATTCGTCATTGAAATAAAAAATGGAATGCTATCAGTGGACATTAATCTTTTTATCAATCACACATTACGTGCATAATATTTTTGGTATATATAGTCATGGTTTAGGAAAGAATGTCAATATTCCCATTATGTATAGTCGGATATACCAAACAATAAAAGTAGACCGGTCAATAAAATTTAATCACTATGCAGCATAGTGGATTTCAACATTTATCATTCTACTAAGATAAACTTGTTACGTGATAACGGTAGGGACACGGATGCCTGATAAAACAAAGTGTAATTTTATTTAAAACATTGCTTCGTTTATCAGGCTTGAAGAACGTTATTCAGGCATATTTCAAAGAATGCAGAAAATTTTCAAAAATATTTTATAATGCATTCCGATTTTCTACTTCCTTGCACTGAAATGCTTTCTTACCTTTATTCGCGTGGAAGTTGTGTCAGAAATATCATATGCAATAAA